TAGTCTTATAATATTTATTGACAATATAGAGTATGAAAGATCTATTTCAAATTAAATTCATAGCATTTTAAGCTTTAAATGAATGACTCTAGTTTGAATTTATTCTTTTTGTTAATATTTACTTACGACTCACCATATGTTCACTTCTACGAGTAATTAGTTAAAAAAAACACTAAATATATAATCTCACTTAACAAATTAAAATGGCATTTATCGATACTCTATTTAAAATAATTCATATTATTTTACCTGTTAGTAAAAAACCTTTGATATCTCATTAGCCAATCTTAAATCAAATATAGTAGATTCGCCTGGACCGATTTCGATCACGGCGCCCAGTCCCATTCAGACTAGCTACGCAGGTGTTGTTATCGTGTACAAATGTACGCACTAATATAGGTCCATCTTGTACTCGTATTTGATTTATTAAATCGTATATGGAAATATATGGAAATGCCCTAAATTTTGGTGGGAAGATAGTACGGCCAGTGAGAGATCAGATTCAGGACCAACGGCTTTATCTATTCTGCCGCAACGGATGAAGACACCGCCAGCTTCCCAACTCCGAGCTGTGTTATATTTCATTTGTGTTATATATTACTTTACTGAGATTGTCTGAACAGAAAAACACAAACCCCAGGATCGGCTGGAACTATTATATGACTCATATCTATTATAATATCATCTATAATCGTACGGCGTTCGTATTAACATTTTAAAATAAAGACATACTAACATTTAAAAATGGTAACTAGGTATAGATTTGGCTTTTATTCCAATGTATAAGATAGAGATTTTTTTTAATTTATATAATTTTTATAGTATGAGTTAAGAATAGGTTCAGAAACTTTAGAAATTATTGATTTATTACAGATTTTAAATTACGTATAATAATATAATATATTACACAAATGACGTACTCTCGCTTAGCTCGGGTGCATACCGAATGGTAGTCATTATGTTACTCCAGGTCTTAATCTATCTCAGCACTAAATTACATCCAAATCTAACCAGCCGTTTTAGCGTAAAAGAGTAATAAAGATACACACACATACATACAAACTTTCACATTTATAATAGCAGTCCGATTGAATTGATCATTCTTAACAATGCCTGCTCAGGATTCATATCGATGAAGTGTACAATATACTATAATAATGTACCATATTTACGTCAAAACCTTGCATTACTTCACAAAAGATATTGCCATGTGAATAATTCCACTTAATTTCAACCTGAATAAAAATATAATTCGTACAGAAAAGCATTTATTTTTTATAGCTCATTAACCTACCCGAAGCTTTTGTTCTTTTAATGAATAGCTATAGCCTTTTTATTTTAAGGCTCTAACGAAGTCTGCCAGGTCTCTTATTCTACTGTTAGCCCTGTGGTCTTAGCTAATGAGGTTAGTATACTCCATAGTACTGAATTGAATACCTTAAAAGACTTTTCAAAGTATATTGTTTCGAATAATTACTAAGAATGTAGATAATAATATCAAAAAAAAAACATTAAAAAAAACAAACAATACATACGAAAACAAAAGTAAAAAAACACAAAAAAAACATGTACAGTAGGCATGTTTTCATAAATTATTTTATTATAAATATTGATTGTTAAATGAAACAAATAAATGGATTTCGAGCTTTGCTCGAGCCTAAGCCGCGCATGTCGTGTTCATTTATGTACATATTATATCCTAAATAAAATTGTTTTAGATAATAAATGATTCCTTAGCTTAAAGAGTAATTAGTAAGAGCCTATTCTAGACGGAGAATTAAGATAATTAGAACAGATACGATCTAGATTTTAAACGGAAATTTTATTAATTACTTTATAGTTATGAGTAAGAGAACTCTCCGTCTCTCTCTCTCTCTATCTCTCTTTATCTCTTCGCCCCATACTATCTATATGCAAAATTTCGATTTGTGAATGACAATATCAAACAACTTTTTTGTCTATTATAATGAATGACTGACCTATACATATAATGGTAACGAAGCCGAATCTGTACATTAAATATTTTTTGGGAAATCTTATTGAAATACGAAATCTTATTGAAATTGATACACAGGGGCCGAATCTATAGTTTTTAGAATTTTTGTCTATCTGTCTGTCTGTTACCGCATCACAGGAAAACCACAGGAGGAATTTTGATGAAATTTAGTATGGTGATAGCTGGTTATCCGGATCAACGTATAGGATACTTTTTACCGCGGGAAAATATCTCATTTCCGAGAAAAAATACAAAAACTACAATGTACTGTATACTAATATGTAAAACCTAAGAATTCGGTTTTTGGTCATCTGAACGCGGATGAAGCCGCGGGCAATGCTAGTATTTATTATAATAATAGAAATATTTCAAAAATACTATAAACTTTTTTAATAAACTAAAAATATATTTTAAACAAGATCACAGATCTAACAACAAGTACACAAACAACAGTTTGATTTAATAGGTGCATAGTACGTTTTTTTATTAAATATCGCAGCTCCACGTTCCTGAGTATCGAAAAATACCTTTCATATGATATATTTTATAAAAGTAACAATAATAAAATGCATTTTAGTGACAGTGCTTATGCTCCCGAAGGTTGTCCACTTGACCGGTCAACTGCAGAGATTACAATGTAATTTATAAGTATAAAAGAAAACATTTCCAATTCGAGTAAACATTTCAATAAGCTGAAGTTAAGCAAATATTTAATACTAAAATTGTACTGACAGTATAAATCACCTTAATACAAAATAATTATTTTGTCTTTACAAATATAAATGTTCTTTTGTGACGTCTAAAATTTAGATCGTATCTGTTCTTATCATCTGCAATAGTCTTAATTCTAATTATAGGTTTATCGTTGAGTCATATAATTGAAATCACGATACAAAAACTACACATCTAACATAGCGAAATATCTAAGGTTCTCATAATAATAAGATTATCATAATGTCAAATGTAGTTTTGTTCGCCAATTCGATGTCCGGGCGGTGAAATTTTTACATTACATTTCATTTTACATAGCATTTTCATAAGTGCCATGATAATGACACTGACATGACATTGAAAAAATAAAGGATGAATAATCAAATTATAATCAGCCAGGTAGACCAGTGATATCGCGCGATAGTGAAACCGAGTGAAGCGGGTTCGAATCCCGGGTCTCGCACTTGTGATATTTTCATGTGGGAATAATTTGCAACATGATTACTACTTGTCTTACGGTGAAGGAAAACATCGTTATGTAAATTGCATGTTTGAGAGAATCTATCAAGTTTTCGAAAGACATGTAAAGTTCGCCAACCCGCACTAATTGTCCAGCGTGGTGGACTATAGCCTAATTCCCCTCGTATCAAAGGGGGAACCGTGGTCAGTGCTAAAAAAAGGGCTGAATACATACAAACATTACAATCAGTAAATATTTAATAGGTATTAATTAATAAGTCGTTTGTATATTTGGTTACACATGCTCATGGACATTAAATTGCAAAATATTAAAAATTACCACTTCTGAGTATTGTGAAACAGCAATAGATGAAGTCCTGACAGTAATAGACTATCCTTTAGTCGCTCTTTTTCTCACAAGTGTCAAGATACTATATTTTGCTGACCAACAAATGCTAATACGGATGAGTTCAAAAAGTTAAAAGTTCATTATAATTAATTCATCTGACCTTTCTAAAATCCATTTAGTAGCACTCATACGATGATACGATGATGAATACACATGGGTATTTATGAGATTTCATGGGATAAATTAATAATTATTAAGATTACATTAAAATCGCCTACATTATTAGTTTACGAGCGGATTCAATATATTGCTAGAATATATACAACAACTAATAACGCCTCTAGTTTCTAATTGATTTTGATAAGCCATTAAGCTGCTTTGATGGATGCTTTGTTGGTGTTTAGAGATCTCACTCTGTTCATACTTGTTTTGTGTACTTGTACACTATCGTAGTAATTTATAAACATAAAGTTGTAATCGTAATAAATTCTATGTAGCTATAATAAATATTGTATACTGTATGTTTTGTAAATTTTTTGAAAGGTGGAAATTTTGATTTAATGAAAGACGAATTATGTATGGGGGCTATTCTAAAATTTGCTAAAAGACAAATCGAAGTTTTCAAATTTATTACGGGGAAAACTGGTGCCTAAGGAACAAACATCAGGCCACAAGAGCGCTATGTTTTGGTCATTGTATACTTAAATATCTAATTATATAGGTACAGAGTTTATTGCTAAGTGCTTGTAAAAATGTACATATTTGAATAAAATATATTTTGTATCAAAATGTCTAAATAGAAAAATTACTAAAATTTAAAATTACTTTATTTAGGCTATTAAATGTAACTTATTTTGGACGCTATACAAGTTTTGTATATGAAATAAAAATATGATGATAAGTGATTGAAAACTAAATACAAATACAAACACGGAACATGTCGACAGGTGTTGTTCGTAACTTAGCGTACATTTACTTATGTTTTTTTTAATATTGATTGATTACTATTTTTCCTTTCAGTCACCACACGAAAATGAACAACTGTATTTAATGTGAGTGCGTTTTTTATGGATCTTTACTGAAATATGCAAATATTAAATCTTCTTCTTCATGAGCCTCTTCATTATTGAAGGTCAGCAGTTATCCTCCTAAATTCTTCTTTGTTCGGGGCTAGCCTGAACAGATCTTCAACCCTCTTTACCCCGGTTCATTGCATGTTCATGTTGCAGACCTAGGACATCTTTCTTTTACCAGCAGCAGTTGATAACATTCCTTCCTTAGCAAGTGTCCTAGGTACGCAAATTATCTCCGTTGGATAGTTTGAACAAGTACGCGCTTATTCCGTTTCATCCTCCGAGGACCTCAGCGTTGGTGACTTTATCTGTTCAACTTATTCGGATCCTGAAGTGATACGCCCATATTTCAAATGCCTTAAGTTTCTTACGGAGATCTTCTTTCATGATCCAAGATTCGCAGTCGTAAAGTATGACGGGCCAAATATGGAATTGCGAGAGTCTTGTACGTAGTTTCATAGATAGTCTCCTTGTGGTAAGGACTTTACTCATCCTCGTGAATGAGGCTTTTGCAGTTTCTATTCGAACTCGTCTCTCGGTGTCACTCTCCCAAGAATTAATCACCCAAGATCCAAGGTACTTCTGAACTCATTAAAGACTAACTTGCCCTACCTTAAACTGCTCTGCTTTGGCGTTCTCGAAACTATCATGATTTCGGTCATAGACGCATTCATATTAAGTTCTGCTCTTCTACTGTACTCGAATATTTTTTTAGTATTTTTTGCAGACCTTGTTCTGAATATGCAATAAGGATAGTGTCGTCAGCATATATCAAGTTATTAATTAGACGACCGTCGGAGGAGACAAAATGCATCCCTGACGCAATCGTCTTCGATTGCGATTGAGTCGGTACCACTTCCATTTACTCTTACATTTGCGTAATTTTGCCTACTTTGAATTATATTAAATATCAAATATAATATATGTACATCTATTAATGATTTCCGCTGTAGTAAATCACCGGATACGTCGTGGTTTAACCTGTTAGCAAGATTTTATGGAAACGTTAAAAGTTATATTTCATAATAGTTTTGTGTAATGTACAAATCAAAAAATTAAACAGCAAATATTTTTAAAATACATTCAATTAAGCATACGTCTAAACCGTTACATAAATTAATAAAAAAAACCACCAACAGTTACAAAAAAATGAAAAGGAAAGGCCGAAATGCAGGACCAATTACATACTGAAGGGCGGTCCGGCTATAACTTTAATCGAACGGCCTACTAATCAGGATGTACCGCAAACCGATAACACTTATAAAGATTCAACATGCTTCGAACCATCGCATTACTGCGGACGGGGAAATCTCCCCAAATATTTATCAACATGTTACCGAAACCGCTAGCAGAGCGCTGCGTTCCACTGCAAATAGCAGATAAGCACGTAGCCTGCCCACAACGAACCGTGCTTCACGGAATAAATATGTGATTTATGTTTTTAGTGCATAAAATACTCGTTGGAGTTATAAAGAGTAATGGTAACAAGTCAAATCGTTCACACGAGAAGGAACACTATAGCTTTCACGCAAATATCAGTTTGGCCTCCATATGAATCAGTTGGATGAACCGTTCACATTTTACGCAGACCTCAAGAATTCATATCCGGGTTGAGATGAGACCTTTATAACTTTTCCTGACAATGCCGAAATTAACTGTTCCTGAGATTTCGGTCAATAAAGGAGAGAATGTAATGTAATAAACATAACTTAGCTTGCTCAATTTGATCGCTAAATCGAATCCCATAATAAATGCTTTCTTCGTTTTTCAACTGAATGATCCATTACGGAGTATGGCCTAAATATAAAACCGTTAAAGTGTTAATTTATGACATAATTCCTTATTTTTTAGGGTTCCATAACTCCATACACGTTCATGTTTATTTCTCTCTTCGACATCATGATGATGTGCAGGAAAGTCTTTCAAGCTGATTCAAGGCCGATCTGTATTTGTTTTTTTTTGTTTTATTCTATATAAAGTATATGATATTATAATAATATCATGAAAATTTATACTGTCAGCACGGGTCATACAAATTGCAGTATAAAATTATATTTCTCGTATAATAAAATAAGCCATATAATTACAAGTCTATAATGTTAATAAAATACGTATATCCTCATTTACTTCATAGTCTCCGATCTCCGCTATAATTGAGATACTTAATAAAAACTAAGGAATATGATCAATATAAGCATGTCGTGAGAAAATTGAACCTTATCTATGGCGACGACCACAATAGCTATCATATCCCTATTTTATCGCATATATAGGTGAGTCTCTAGTAGTATTATAATATAATGTTTCTTTATAATACTTGATTTCCCATACAAACTTTTACCTCCACTTTCACACCCTGAAGGGATGATTTCCGGGATAAAAATTATTCTATATCCTTCCCAGGGTCTCAAACTATCTTCTTACGAAATTTCATCTAAATCAGTTCAGTAGATCCAGAGATTGCCCCCTACAACGTCACAAACTCACAATTCACAAACTTACACCTCTCTATAATATTAGTATAAATAAATTAATATCCTGGAAATTGCTTATTTTTAAAGAAAATATTATTCAACTTATTTATGACTCAAATAATGACATAGTCCTACAAAAATCTTTTCTAATTCATATGGAATGTGCAGTATCTTTCATTGCATAAACTTCACATTACAAAATGAATTCATTACAAAGAAGCAGGAAGGGCGTCTTCATAATACGTATAATATAAATAATATTTATTAATAACCATATATCTTAAACTTATCTACAATCTTAACTACAACACTTAATTTGTATAATATGTGACACATGTTTGTTTAATGATTTTATGAGAAAATTGAAAAGCTAAAAATTAAGAACAGAAATTTAATATTTTTATTGTCATGATAATTTATTTATGTCGTAAACGCAATATTGTTGCGCACAGATTTTTACTATAATATTTCTCTGAACGTACAAGTAAGTGTATTATGACATTAAGTTATTTTAAATAAAACTATCTTTTCGGAGTTTTTCGCGAATTTATTTTGATTTTTCTTCCCCGACGTATCGAATGCTTTACAGCAATCATGGTCACGGGAGAGACTTTATTTAAGTCATTTATTATTTCAATTTTTCATTTTCAAACATCAAATCAAACGATATTTATATATTGAGATATTTGTGTTATAGTGCACCTTCAACTTGCCGCCTAAAGGACAAATAATATAATACCTTTATGTGTATCTGTTTTCAAACTTCGATAGTGACAATCTTCCATTCACTTTTAGGGTTCCGTACCCAAAGGGTAAAACGAGACCCTATTACTAAGACTCCGCTGTCCGTCCGTCTGTCTGTCTATCACCAGGCTATATATCTTGAACCGTGATAGTTAGATAGTTAAAAATTTTACAGATGATGTATTTCTGTTGCCGCTATGACAACAAATACTAAAAAATAGAATAAAATAAATATTTAAGGAGGCTCCCACAACAAACATGTTTTTTTGCCCGTTTTTATTCGATATTAATAACGGCAACAGGTAGACGCTTTAAAATATTCATGGGATATTTAGTTATATATTCACTTTAAAAATAAATAATTAAATTATAATAAAATAAATATTTAAGGGGGGCTCCCATACAACAAACGTGGCTTTTTGCCGTTTTTACAGATAATGGTACGAAAGTCTTCGTGCGTAACTCCGACTCGCACTTAGCCAGTTTTTTTATTACACTTTTAGAAGCTGAATTGTCCAAAATTCAAGGTGTTACTCCAAGTTGCAGTATATGTGTGTACTTAAACTCAACCATATCCGTCCAGCCAATTTAACCGAAGAAGTAACAAATTTTGGCTCAGTTTGTAGTAACCCCACTCGTTATGCCAACGGTCGCGCGTTCGAGTCCCGCTTGGGGCATTCATTTATGTGATGAACACGAATGTTTGTACTCCAGTCATGGAAGTTTATGTATGTATCCATAACACAGGCCTCGTAGCTTACCATGGAATTAGATGGTGCTGTGTTAATGTCCCAATATATTTCCAATATTTATTTATTGTACTAATAACGTGCCACTTAGATTGGCTTACAAATTCCTTCTGTAAAGTTACCTTATAATTATAGAAATAGACTGTTGAAATTTCAGCTCTAAAGTTAGATATTTTCTAATATAAGAATTGGCAAAAGCTTCCTATTTCGAGTGATTTTCTGGCACCGCCATCTTCATCAATCAATCCAGTCAGTACGCTTAAGCGACAAAATTACTTTTATATCAGATCTTTTTGAGATGTGCTTGAAATATTAACTTATTCAGCATTTTAGAGCGATATAGCGGAGTTTCCAAGTTCATTTCCTTTTTAACGATTCCGTGAGTGAACGTCGTGTTGTTGTTACAGTGATTTATTTGCCATATATTAATAATTTTAGGATTTTTAATTTTTGATAAAACATCTTTAAATAATCGATTTTTCTAGGGCTTGGATGATTATAAATTTATGTAAATATAGTAAATGACGTCCTGACCAATTTCGACCGCGATAGTCAATTTACTCACTGTGACATTCAGTCACTAGGTATGGTAAGCCTTCGGAGGGGATATTATAAGTTCCCATCTAGGACTCATGTAGGACTCAAACCTAGGACTTCTACATGTGCTAGTTACGTAAAATATAAGACATTAATAAATAAACAATATAATATAAAATTATGTCCGGACTTATTAACTTATTCTTATTTTAAAATTAAAATTCCATTAGATTTTTTCCCGATTAAAATTTTCACCAAGAAATATTTTATTGAAATAAAGTAGTAAAAAAATTAAATGAGTGACAAGATACATATCTAATACCTTTAAACGAGCAATTCTTGTATATTTATTTATTTATATAATATACCGGCGATCTCGGAAACGGCTCTAGCGATTTCACTGAAATTTGGTATTTGGGGGTTTTCAGGGGCGGAGAATCGATCTAGATTAGTCTTATGCCTGAAAAATGCGTGTATTCACGTTTTCATGCGGTTATCTTTCGCGTTATTCCTCGCAAAATATGGTTGCTAATTTCGCACGTTCGGACATAAGCATCGTGGTCAGGCGGCCAAGGCGCAAGATTGACAATCATAGGTGTCCAGGTTCGAATCCCGTCAGATACAAAGGTTTGAGTTTTGTTTTTTTTTTTGTATTTATTTAAGATTTTAGTTTAAAAAAAAATTGTACCTTGGCCAAAAACTCCCAGAGAAGCTCAGTCACCCAGGTACTGTATATGTACATATATGAGAAATATTTTTTTGACAAATTAATCAAGTTTCAACTTGGTATTAAAATAACTGCTTAGAGAAAAAAATGAGACAGAAATGCTTTAAAAAATAGTGTTTGGGATAAAGTTTAACTTAATATTTAATAAAATACAGGGCACAACACAAATAAAAATATCTTCTTTATAAAACTTTATAAATGACTAGCGACTTACCATCGCTTCGCTCTAGTGCGTCCCTAGATAAGTTTTTTTTTATTGAGCGGAACCCTAATTCTGTTTTTAAAATAAAAGTAGTCTAAGTTACTTCTTATAAAATTAGCTATCTGCCAATGAAAATACCACTAAAATCAGTCCAGCCGTTTTGGAGATGAGCCGGAACAAATAGACAGACAGACAGGCAAACAGAGAGACAGGCAAACAGACAGAAAAAATAAATTAAAATTGTGTTTTCCTTATAAGTACTGTATATAATTTCATATGCAATATGCATGTAATAAAAATCTGTTTTTTGACAATACAAACAGACACATCAATACCAATACTGCCCGCGAAGTTTAATTTTAAAATTACTCCGTTTGCCGTAAACTACAAAATAAAAAAGGAATTTTTG